CGGGGCAACACAGCACGACCACACGATCGGACACGATAGCAGGAAAATCCGAGCTGCTGGGGTTGGTTTTTGTGAAACCCGTGCAGAAGCTTAGCTCAACTCGATCCATGCTCATAAATATGGTACGAGTATAGCAACCCAGAACCTCCACCCTTCCGCCCTCCTCCCCCTCCCGCTAATCTCGCTGTGCGTAAATAGCTCAGCATGATGTCCGCACGGTTAACTAGGCGCAAGGTGGTGTATGATGGCTCAGCCCGGGCATATGCCGGGATGACCGCGTCAGTCAAGGTTTTTTTTTCAAGATTAACTTGCTTGTACCTCCAAATCTATGTGGGTATCAAAGGGAGCTGGAGATTTGGCCGCTCGTTATCGCACGGGACGGGGCTCTGCCACGGTACTACCATATTGCAGCAGCAGGGTCCCCACACTCCGTGTACCCCGGACACCAAATTCTGCTAACATACCGACGGTCATTCGCACCGGGTGTTGTTGTTCGTCGAAAACTTTCCACCTACTTGACTTGCCTTTCGAGCTAGTCATACGGTAATGCGTGATGGAGAATCCAGTCATGATACTCCATTAGGGAGGTTCTGCACCAAGGTGCGCACCACGTTTCCACAGCAATGGGGTGGCAAAAGTGGCTGGTGATGGTTTTTTTTATAATGCACACTAATTTTTGCACCATGTACGTGCAGAGGTGATGCAGATGTGTTTACATAGTAAACAGAGGTTTTCTTAGTCAGGATACGGTAATAAAGGCATAGCTTATACAACAACAGGTAAGTGTGTAGAGACAAACATCACCCATGATAAATATCCTACAATGAACTTGAACATCCCACAAGTCACAACTATCCTCCTTGCTGCTGTGGCAGCAGATCTTAATACAAGAAAAATCTTAAATTCAATCATCCTCCACCAAAGATGAAAGTTTAAAACTGTTCAAGTCTTACTTTCCAGTCCTACAAGAGTCCTTAAAAACTATTCACAAAAAAGAAAAATACCATAACAGCAGTTTGATTGGAGTATTGAATACCAAACTGATAATTGGTGTATCAAGTTTTTAAGGTTCAATAAAGCTCAAATTATAGAACTTGCAAACCTGTTACGAATACCGGATACCTTCCGTTACCGCTATCGTGCCAACCCCGTTACTGCCCTCACCATTACTCTCTACAGATTGTCTTATCCAAGTCGCCTGAAGCAAAGCATTAGCATTTTTGGTCACGAGCGCGGGTGGCTTTCCACCATATTTAACAATGTATGTTCTCACCTATACCAATATTTTGCCAGAAAGCTTCACTGGGATTCAGAGTTCCTATCGCCTCAACAGTTAGAAAAACATTGCATTGCAATTGCAAATAAAGGGGAACCAACTGGCCTGATTTGGGGGTTTATTGATGGAACCCAACGGCCAATTTGCCAACCTGAATCAGAAACCGCTGATCAAGCACTATTTTACAGTGGCTACAAAAAACAACATACGATGCAGTTTCAGGCAATTACCACTCCAGATGGGTTAATTGCAAGCCTATCTGGGCCATAGGAAGGACGGTTAGGTGATTGGGCAATATGGGTTAATTCAGGAATTGGAAAAGTACTAAGTCAGTATGGAAGGAATGTATTTGGGGAACAGCTTTATGTTTATGGTGATGCTGCCTACTCAGTTGAAACTGGGGTCATTGGTGCATTTTCAGCACCAGCTGGTAGTGTTTTAAGTCAGGAAAAAGCAGTTTTTAATGCCTATATGGCAAAGCAAAGAATGTCTGTTGAGTGGGGCTTCGGAAAGGTTTTACAATATTTTACATTTTTGGGTTTTAAGTATGATTTAAAAGTAGGACTTTCACCAATTGCAACATGGTATTTCACAGGAGTTTTGTTGACAAATTGTCATACATGTTATTATGGTTCAAATACCACAGATACTTTTGGCTGTTCTCCTCCTAGTATTAAAGAGTATCTTTGTACTAAATTATCAAAAGAATAAGTATTATATTCTAACTACTAAACTTTGATGCCATTAAAGAAAGAACCTGATCAAGTTTTTCCTTAACTTCTCCTGACTGCTCCTCAATCCATTGAATTCTCTCTTCCAGTCTGTTTATTGGCTGTGACAACTCATTTGACCATTTCGATTCTGAACTTACTCCAACTACATTCCCAATTATATGCTCCCAGCGGTCCATCTGCTCTGCTTGCATATTCCTTAGTGAACGTAAAGTTTCTTGGTCACCTTCCTTCATCGAGCTGAGTATTTGACTTGTTATTTGTCCCTTCGAGGTAAAGGGTTTTATTATAGTAATATCACTATCTATTAATATTAAATTAGTGGTTTTATAACAATAACAGTAGTTTATGGAAAGATTTTTATACTTACCGGAGGCAGGGTCAGTATCCTCTCTGGTAGCAGTCTCCCTACTGTGATCCTCTAATCCTACCAGCCCTTCCAACTCATCAGATCTTTGCTTCCACTTTTTGGCAAAGCCGTATATCATATCTTCTCTTGTCTGAATCACTTCTCTTTTTTCAGCTTCTACTTTTGATCCTTTTTCTGCCTTTTGCTCCTTGATCAACTGTTCATGGTCATCATAAAGCTCAATCCAGTTATCCAATGCTTGATTATAGTCGGTATCAGCATGTGCAAAAAAAAAAAAAACACTTTTCCCCCTCTCATCCCAAAGTTGAGATCATCTCATTGCCTCACTTCTTTGAATAAAGCCTTTGACATTAACATCAATGCCATACAACTCTCTATATTTGACTCTCATAAAGTCATAAAACTTTCCCTTGTCCTTTATCTACAGATAAAAATGGTTACAACAAAGTTGGACCAAGCGGGCTTGAGAGTTATCATCCTTCAGAATAGTACAAGGTTTATTGGTACCTGGTAGTGATTGGGTAGTTCCTTGGATTAAAGGTTCTTACATAAAGTGTTGGGATAGAATGGGGAACATGGATGTTGTAGAAAGTATGGAGGATGTCGGAGTTGCAGAGGTGATGGAAATTGTGGAAGGCGTGAAGGGCATGGAAAATCCAGAATGGGTGGAGAGTATGGGGGGAAATGTAGGATGAATGGATGATGGAGGGAGTACGTAGGTAGTTGCTGGAACAAACTCAGACTCGGAAAATTGCGGTACTTGTTCTGAGACTTTTATAGTTTCCTAGTCTCATAATTTACTGTTAGTAATTGTTACTCTCAGTAAATGTATTATAAGAGACAAGTTCCTAATACAATGCATTTTTCTGAGAACTTTGCTCAATCTCGTCCAATTTCCTACCAGCATGGAACTCATTTATCTTGCTCATCATAGTACCGCCAGCTTCAGAGAATGCTCTATAACTCCTTAAGGTCAGTAAAACTTTTAACTCAATTCCTAACCAGTGGAAGGATTCAACTATACCCAGCCGGATCCGAGTCGCGACACAAATCCTCCTAGCCTCCAGGTAGGAACTCTCTGAAATCCAGCGTGCGTACAAGCTGACAGAAACACCAAGGTCTCAAAAAAAAATAAGAATAGAATAGACAACCAAAATGAGTTTTAAGTTGATAGTAACGTTGATGTTAGAATAAGGGTGGGTTGAGTGGGTGAACAGGAGACACATGATAAACAAACTGAAGTCACATGTTTTGTTTCGTTATTCTCACGATTGAACTGTGCAACAAGCAGAACCCCCCTAGAATTGATGCACCATTTCGGCACATGCACCACCCTGTTGTCGTGCGCACCCCAATGCAGAACCTCCCTATTTAAACCCCTTCTCATTCTCCTTCATCTCTAGTACCGTAGGGTGCCAGACGCAGACTGCACCGTATCGACACTGCACCCTGCCCGCGTCATGCCCATGAACCGCCCTTCAAGCACAAAATATATACCCAACATACGTGTTCAATTGCAATACCAGCATACATTGACATGATATCATGTATGTGGGTATGTAAATGTACCTGATCACCAATAATCAATCAGCAATCTCTCAAATATTACTCGTACAGTAGGCCAGCAGAGTCCTCTTTCTGCCCCCTTCCTTTATTGCCTCTCTTTCTGCGTGTATCACCTAGCTAGATTTGGCTAGACCGACCAGCCCACCTACCTACCTATTATCTACCAGCCTGTCTGCCCAGAAGGGTGTCCTATACAAGATTCAGCGAATTGATTGAGGGGTAATTTAGTGAAGAGAGGAAGGAAAGGGTGGGTACGATCTTCCGTGTGTGGGGGGGAGGGCGGGAGGAGGATGCAGTCGCAGGGCGGTGAAACCTTGAAATTTACCTTACGAAAGATAGTGGTCTGATGCGCCGGAATAGGGATACCGGGCGTGATACCGTTGCATATGGGATGGCGGTGGTTAGTGGTGGACAAAAGGTAAGGGGGAGGGCATAGGGTATTGGTTTTCTTACATGCGTGTCGTGTCGTATCATACCGGTATGATATCTAGACTATGTGATTCGTATCATAGGCGGTTAGGTTATCACTAAGGGATAAATTAACACTGTTGGTGGTATGATAACACTATCGAGAAGGGGGTTAGGGGGTTCCGAGATCCCTCTCTTGTTCTACACGGCTGTAGGTTAATTCCGCGGACAATGTCCGAGTGATGAAAGGACATTGCCTGTGGCCTCAAAATTTGTGGATTGAGACCTCCGGTGCAGGTGTATGCGCGTTCGGGTTCACCTGTCGCAGCTCATTTTCTGTAAGTGGGGAAGAAAGAGGGCAGGTATTTAGCAAGGTAGGTCACCGGAGGTTCTGCGGCATATCAACGGCCTGGACGAAGATTAGGGGGGAGGAATATGAGGTTTGGGCATGGCCCTGTAGACTAACGCCCGTATGCTGGACATCCTGCGATTTGTTCATTCACTCGATTTTATCTTCAATGCTCGACTTGTAAGATGGCAAGCACATGTGCTCGATGAAGGGTGTATTACACTGTACCTGTAGGTAGCCTACACCCATATCCACATCTCGTGCCGGTACATCATAATATACGACGATCTGAAATCGAGTGGTAGCCAAAATAGGCTCTCCAATTCAAAGCTAAAAAAACTCAAAACAAAAAAATGAGACCTAGCCCCCACCCTAAGTATGCCTTTTTATATTGCAAAATATGCTCGCCATCTACCTGCGCCGGGTCCCAGGTTTCAAATAGAAAAAAAATTCAGCCAGGGGGGAAGAGAGAAATGGAAAGGACAAACGCCCAAAGAAATATATAAGTAAAACCGACTTCAAAAGGAAGAAGGAAGAAAAGTAAACCCATGTTTGAAGACCAGGAAACCGTAAGGGAAAAAACCCGAAAACGAAAAACTGTACACACTATCCATCCTTTCGCATAACGGAAAATGCGCCGCTATCGACGCCGATACACTTCCCCCCCGCGCTCAGCAGAATGTCTTGAGCGACCGGACAAAGGTGTAGAAGATCGTTCATAAACTCCTTCCTCATCAGCTTTACTCCTTTTTGTCCTCCTTGTATTTGAAGAGCGGTCGCTCCAGGGTGTGTACTCAGGGGGAGTACTCGAGTTTGGGCTGCTTATGCATATGCTTGAATGGGGGGATATATGTGTTTGGTTAAGCTGCGGAACTAGAAATCTCCAGTCGTGACCTGTAGCCGCCCACTCTGCATCCTCCGAGACCAACGGCGACATCAAGATGTCCAAGATGTCGTTAGTAATAGTTGTGCCTTGTCCTTGGGTCCAATCTGTTATCACTTCTAAGTTGGCCCAGCCTTCAGATGGCGTGATACTGGGCAGCCTTGGAGAGGATCTCCCATGTGGTACTGGTGGCTTGAGCGCGATCCAGAGAGGATCCAATGTTTCTATGTACCGCTTCGAGCATAATTTTATGTTTGCAGAATTACGGATTGTATCCATGCAGCGAGGAATGATGAGTTTTAAGTCATCTACTGGGGTTTCTGGAGGATTAAGGGAAGTGTCAAGGAAGACAATTAGGCAAGCAACGAAATAGGAGCTACTGTTGATCCCGTTAGCTTACGATCTACAAAAGGATCTAGGGAAACAAACATTGTCAACCAAGACTTTTGAGCAGGCTCCATATCTTCAGACGCAAGTAAATCATGAACCCGGCAGATAGCTCGTGCTGCGCCAATGCACTTGTTGCCATAGTGCACCTCGAACGATGACGGATCATCGGAGTATGCCGACCTCGCTGCCCGGGTAGCTACCCTAACCAATACTCTTCGAGTAACAGCCAGAATCGATCTGAAATACGTGCAATGGCCCAGTAGAAGCCCAGAGCGGAGCGCTGGATGTAACGAGTGATCACTGATGACTGCTTGGATGGTGAAGCCGTCCGGCAAACTAGCCTGCCAGACTCGGAGTTCATCCATCATTTTAGATACGGCGGAAAAATTTATTGAGTTCTGTGGAGTGGCTTCTTCCTTCGTTATCTGAGAGAATATTTTCGATATCTTTTCCACCTCTGCTTGTGCGTGCTCTAACAAAACTTTCTGGTTCACGTCAAGAAATAACGACTGTGTGAAAGATTAGAAGAGATGGAAGGTGTGACTTTGAGTAGAAGAACTCACGTTTGTATTAGGGGAGTGATTGATCGAGTGCCCTCTGTCCCATCGTAGTACTGAATCAGGAATTGGTCGTTGTTGCCCCTCTCCCGTGAAATTTTGTACGATTCTTCGCTCGCTGTGATGAGAATTGCACATCTCACCATAGCTGTCAGGCCTTTTCCGCCGTTGGGCTGCAGCCTCCTTAATATCGGTGATATCCACTACGGAATGAGTGTATCCGGACAAGCCCACAGCGAATTCGGCCGAAACCCACCGGACATCACCACTTGAATGAACGAAGCGGTATTCCACCTTTCTCATCCTGCCATCTTCGAAAGAGAAATATCTAGATACTTTCTCCCGGTCGAAGTGATGGACGGCGTTTAGCCAGTTTCCGTCGCGACGTATCGTAGCTTCAGCCAATCCGGAAATCTGGCAGAAGCGATCATTCGCAAAGTACCGTATCCGCCCTTCGTGTAGTATTCTGCCGCATATCCCTATCGGATATGCTATATAACCCCCGTCTGCTTCACAGGATTTGTCCGACGTTCGGGAGCTGGAAGAGAAATGGTCGAGTATCATTTGAAATGCGGCCTCTGACATTTTTCGCCGATTTATCTCTGCCTCTAAACACCTGGTTTTCTGCTGTAGCATTGCCACTGCCGTCTTTTGGTTATTAGAATGCCCTAAAGTCGGATACTCCTTCTCGGTCGGTTCGACTTTGGAATGGTTCAAGCAGATTTGCTGAAAGACCTCGCTGAGCCCCTCCGCCTCGAATACGCCCATGTTGTAACCGCAGAGCAAAGCAACGTTCCGATCCGGCTCGGACAGGAAGCGCTCCCAAGCAACCTCCAATTGCCTGGCGAGCTCATAATGCCCTTGTTCGCAAAGAATATTAACAAGTTCGCCATAGACCCGGACTTTGGGGAATTTAGACTGGACATCGGGAAATAATTTCTTAAGATACCGATCGAATAAATCTATGTCAAGAGATCCGCCGGGCATAACAGCCGACAAAATATCATCGGCATCAAGGAGTATCAGTTGACCGCGATCCTTTAGTTGCCCCGGAACCAAATTCTGTTCTCTCAAATGGACCTCTAGAGCGTCTAAATGGGTCCTAGTAGCGATTATTACCGACGCACTCTCAGTACTAAAAAATGTGGGAAGAATGAAGCTTGAGATGGCACTGTATAGGTAACTCTCTGCCTCGTAAAATTGTAGCGCATGGTCGCAACGGGGAGTCGGTGGCGACGCAGCTGATTTTTTATTTCGTGGAGGCTTCTTTTGGGCACCCCCGGGGGTGACATCTCCTGCCATTGAGACGCTCAACAATTAGTTTCTTGACGCTAGGCGGGAGATGACGGGAAAAAGTCGAGCTGGGAGTGTTGCGAACAGGAGAGAAGGTGAAATGAATGGAAGGGTAGGTAGGCTTTATTGCGGTAGGTATGGGTGGTCGAGTTGGTCAAGATTATGAGTGTCCGTGGAGGGGTGTGGTGGGTATTGATGGTCGTCGACTGGAGGCAGATGACGAAAGGCAAGGACAAAGGTTGCAGGGCGATTCAAACGCACAACCGGGTTAGCGATGCCGTGGTGAGAAAGGGTAGCTATTGGTGGCCAGCTAAATGAGAGAGGAATGTAGCAAAGGCGAGTACAACAAAAAGCGTGGTTTTGCAGGAGGTGAGCAGGTGGACGGATGGTGGAAGATGTATCGAATCGTGTGGTGCAGTATCGTGATCGCATACAGTATGATGAGTAAAGAATGCGTGTGCGGGCTCGTAAATGAATGAGTTGAATGCTTGCGGAACTGTGTGGCGTGGTTGGAGTGTTCAGTTGTGGGTGTGTGAGGGTGGGTGTGTTTTCTGTCTGACCTGTCCTGCCTACTCAAGTACGGTACTGTTGAACGTCTATCCGCCCAACTGGCTGCCTTTCTGTCGGTCCGCCTGTCCTCTATGTGTCTTAGGTCCTTATCCTAGTGTGTCCGTGTACGAGTATGGTACAGTGCCGGTACTGTGTGTATGGTATCTGATGATGTGGTTATGTCTTCTTGCATGTGTGCGTGCTAGATGTTGAAAGTTGGACCAATCTAGACTGTAAGGAGTAATAAGAATTTAATCCGTGTCGATGAAGAAAAGTGAGTGAGACAAGGGAAAGAGAAACAGACGGAAGTGAGACAAACCATTGCAGAGAGGGAAAGAGAGGGGGAAGGAGGAGGGGGTAGAGTGCAGTAGGTGAGGAAGAGGAAAGCACAGACAAACTTCCGACTTTGTGTTAGTTTCCACCTTCCAACTATTCGGGATTATTTTGCGTGGAATCATCAACGAGGATCCATGAGGTGACCATTCTTAGATTTATACACAAGGATAGCACTTGTATGTATGTTTTTAGAGGCTATGGTGGTGGTGACCTTCAATGCCTCCTTTGATTACCGATAGCACTCTCGTCTCTGTCTCCTGGAGTTCCCCCAATCTTCATACCATATTCTTCTTCTGATTGCGGTACATACCATACCATATGGTAGGATAGCCTATCATAGGTACTACTAATGCTCTGTATTGTGCCCTCTGCTGTACTCGAGTATCTATATGATATTTATTGTATTTGAGAACCTCTAATCTTGAGTCTGCCTACCCGAGCTGAATACCGGTACACTCCCGTACCGGAAATCTTATAGTTTACCTATCATATCAGAGTATCATATTTGTACAGTATTGTTAAACTTTCCTAAAAAGGACCAGACCACTGTACCCCGTTACCCTGCTATTTCATCTCAAAAGAAAAAGGTGAATTGGTTGTTTGTGTATGATAGATATTATGCCGGTATGATATAGTTCGTAGCGTGGTTCTTCACAAACCATCTTACCGGTAGACTACTTGGAATATAGTACTGTTGGGTTACCAGGGTCCCTCAATGCTTCTTGCTTCTTGCTTGCTCCCTGTTACCTGCATTGTTTCTTGTATGATACTTATGCCTAGATCTACTCTCACCTGCGTTCACGAAAACGCATATCATGTTACCCGATGATGTGTTTGTTTCTCCTTTTTCTGATACCTTTCCCTTTCTTTTTCCTCGCTCCCTTCCCTCTCCCTCTCTCTCCACTAATTCACTCCTATTTGCTCCGCTCCACCCACCACTCCTTCCCGCAAACATCTTAACTTGGGACATTCACGCACGACAAGTGCGATTGTGATCTCTTACGATTGGGCTGGCTTTATGGCGCCGGGCATCTACCGGTGCGAATCACCAAAGCTAAGCTTGCCTTCCAAAATGCATGTGGGCGGGGGCCAAGTGAGCCGAACCGATTGGCTGGTACGGAGATTCTATTTCCTTACGCCCACCAGGGTCAGGGTCTAGAACACATTCATACGAGATGGGTTCCGAAAAATATGAACCCTTTTCCAACCAAAAACGCCATTGATTCTCCCTTCGAATGATACCGGTACTTCGGCTTCTGTCACCTCCGCTAGAGCGGAGTACCGTACGAGTAGAAACATTGGGAAGGATGGAGCAATTCTTTTTTTCTTTCCTTTTATTCCCATTTGGCTCTGATCACTCACATCGTTAGAGAAACTTGGCCCCGGAGGTCTGATCCACTTTTTTTTTTACCGAAATCTTCAAGACAAAGGTTGTGGGCCCCAGAACTCCTTACCCAGAAGGTGTTTGAATAGATAATAGCAGTTACTAACTCCTTTGACCCAGGGCCTCATTGGTTGTGTGGATAATATCGTCTGATTAAGGGCGAGTCTTAAAGCCGCTTCCCTTTTGGCCATTGAAAAATTTCAACCAAAAGGTGTGGTTTAACAGAGGGCCACAAAATGTTCTGTTCATCCCCTTCTCGCGGGCTTTGAGGGAGCTAAATGGGCCGTAGAAAAACCCCTCTTGAAGAGTAATAAGAAAAGAAAAAGAAAGGAAGAAAAAAAAAGTAAGAGAGACGCCCTACCCAAGCGCCCCTATCGGTAGGCTCTCGGGAAGTCGGCAGATATTGAAATATCATACCTTTTGAGAACCACGATCTAGGATCGCCTTTACGAGTGGAGACGAGACTCAGCCCCTTGACTGGAGGTGTTGTCTTCCCTTTCTCATTTGTTCAATCCCCCTCGACGCCTAAGCCCCGAGCCGCGGCTGCGTGTTTCTCGAGTAGAGAGTTAAAATTTCGTCGCGACCATACATCTTTTCCACCTTCGATTTCGCCGGCAGAAGAGGGGTCCATCATGGATTATCTGCGGCTATCGAAATACGGCTGTCAACGTTAACCAGGATTGCCTTTCAACCTAAATACGCGTCTCTTGGAGCATCCCATGTGCACCCCGCGAGTGAGAGGGATAAAGTTCCGTCAGGTTTTATGCCCCAGTTAGGTCATGATGATTGTTTTTTTTTCTTAACTTGCAGCGAGTTTCCTAAAAAGCAAAATACCTACCAGTAAATTAATTTTCCAGACCTGACCGGACAACGAAACCACAAGCCACTCGGACACCCTCCCACTCAGACAGACACTGATTGGTTGGTTGTTTATGAAGAAATCGCCCGCTGATCTCTTTAGTTGCAACCTTTTATCGAGATTACAATAAGAAACTTTCCTGTTCAAGTTTAGTTGTCCGAGTGGCTTGTGGTTTCCTTTGTGCCACGAAACGACAAACCGATCTACAAGTACCGGTCCAGAGACCTTGCAGTGGACGTTTCCAGACACCCTGGGCGCCAAGAGATAATGTGGGAGGGGGGGCTCAACGAACAATACCTATTTTGTTTGGTCCGTTCATTGACCCCTCATGTGGGATTTTACCTTGCGGCGGATGAGCCCAAATCTAGCTTTGTCACCCTTCATAAAGACTTCCAAACTATGATGGCATCATAATTGCCCTGATTTGCCAACGTTCCTATGCCGGCTTTGACCTCTAATACCTTGATTTTGATAGATCGGACACCCCCGGATCCCAAGTTTCGATGCCGGGGGGAATAATCCAAAGGGGTCTCTATTAAAAGTTCTATTGGATAGAAAGTGTACTCGAGTAGACTACGAGTAGAGGTGCTCTCGTGGTGGAGGGAACCCCTGTGAGGATGCCATGGGGCTTGGCATGGGTAAGATAAGATACCGGTATCCAAAAAGAGTCTGGATGGATGCACCGTGAGGTCTCTACCGTATTGCGCTTGCGGTACTGGTACCGATTCTCACCCAGAAAGGTGCCTGTATATTTGTGCCCAAGTGTGGTAGCCTACCCACATCAACCATTCGGGATATACCGAGCATTTCCATTCCCGGACCATTGCAGGGTTTTCGGGGTGGCAACTGGTTGGCAGCTGGCGGCTTGCGGGGGTTACCGGGGGTGACATAAATATCGTATGATGGTTACATACGACGACTTATCTGGTTGGGGGTACACGGTGCATGGGACAATCTATCTATATCATCCTGTGCTAGGATTCTTGGCATGTACGACTGAGACATGCAAGCCACAGGCCAGAACACGGGTACTGTGCGAAAGAATCATCAAATGAGCCACACACCAAGTCGGTGAAGGGAGGGCAAAGAACAGGGGGGGGAAAAACTAAGGAAAAAACAATAATAATAATTGAATGGCGGGGGTGGGTGATTGGTGGGATCTCTTTGATTTATCTTTCCTCGAGGTCTCGAGGGCCTCTTGCCAGCAGCATGTGCTCGGGTAGAGCTAGATTCTCAAATGTGGGGTGCCAGTCGTCTGGAATCAACCCTCACTAACTGTTAAACGGAGTCTAGCAACGAACGAGCCCCAGCAGCGACAAAGTTTTTTTGAGGGAGCCCCGTATAGAACTACTTAGATTCGACTCCTCTTGATTTCTGTAGGCTCCGTTTTCTCGATAAAATGGGCATCATACTAGCGGAGAACGGTAAGAGGGGCATTTTGGAGAGGGTGAATACACATCACCGCATGTGTTACGATAGATGCTTGATACCGCTGCTAGGTCAATTATAAAGTGTTTGGACGCCCGAACATTATTGATACTTTGCTTGGCGCCGGGCCTCCGAATACTTTATAAATGGCCAAGCAAGCGAAAAAAATACGAGCAGGATGGTCGGTTTTTGGTGTCCAGCACCTAGGAGAGGCTGTCGTGCGAAGAGCCCAGAGCCTATATCATGCGGGGTCAAGTTTGGCTTGGTGATTAGGTCGAAAGGGTTGCGAAGGTTCAGAGCAATTGACAACAACAGACCTCGATATCATACCGGTGCCCGGAATAGTACCTTATTGTATTTGTACTGTGATAACTCGGAAGACTGGTCGGATTAGATTGGCATTGGTCTCCTGGCTTGACAATGACAGGGCAACTCTGGGTTTGCGTTTGAACG